CAATTGCCGTACGGCCTACTTTTACGCAAACGCAAATTGACAACAGCAACTTTCATGCTTAATTTTCTCTGTTATCTGGGCATGTAGTAATGTAATTTTATGCCAATGTAAGGTGCTATTTTTCAAGGGCTTTTCAATGCAGTTATCGATTTAAATATACCTAAAATTCTCGTTAAGATATGACAATTGCCGTATGGGCTACTTTTACGCAAACGCAAATTGCAACTGCGAGATAAGAGTTCTAAAATTACAATTTTGCAATAATCATGGCAGGCGGAAATACGATTCTCTTTAAATTACCGAACAACTGTCTTTACAACAAAGTTGCCCGAGAACGATAGAACATTCGTTGTCAAGAAGCTGGTAGACTCCAGCCATGACTGAGGGGAGACCGAATCGTTAGTCAAAGAAGCGAGGCTTCTTTCAAAACTACATCATGTGAACGTAGTTCAATTCAAGGGAATTTGTGTCGACCAGTATGCTTTAATCCTTGAACATGTTCAATTTGACTTTGCTCCAATTGGATTTGCTACATAACATGCACTGAACCGAAGATAAGAACCTGCGAAATACAAGGTCGGTTTCATGACCTGGTTTATATTTCGGCGCCAAACGAAAGAGAGTTAATTTTCTCGTGTTGCCAAAGTGGCATAAAGTACACGACCGGATAACAGAAAATTAAGCAATTGTAATTCGCGTTTGCTAGGCCGTACGGCAATTGTCATATCTTAACGGGAATTTGAGGTATATTTAAACCGAAACTGCACTGAAAAGCCCTTGAAAAATAGCACATTGCATTGGCATAAAATTACATTACCATGCCCAGATAACAGAGAAAATTAAGGATGAACGTTGCAATTGTAATTTGCGTTTACGTATAGAAAGTAGGCCGTACGGCAATTGTCATATCTTCGAATTGTAGGTATATTTAAACCGATAACTGCATTGACATCAAAGCCTTTAAAAAGCAGCACATTACGTTGGCATAAAATTGGAGTACTGCATACCAGATAACTGACACTGAATTAAAACTTTATTAACACTAAATTGTAATTTTAGAACTCTTATCTCGCAGTAAGTATTTAAGCGAAGAGACATATTATTGGTTTTTATTTGTTCAAATTCTAGGACAATATTCAATATTCTTTATACATATCGATATGCCCTCTTTGGATAAAACGCGGATATGGCTTAAAAAAGCCTGAAAAACGTTTTTTGAACCATATCCGCGTTTTATCCTTTTGGATACCCTTTTGGATAAAACGCGGATATGGCTTAAAAATGCTGGAAAAACGTTTTTTGGACCATATCCGCGTTTTATCCTTTTGGATAAAACGCGGATATGACTTAAAAAAGGCTGAAAAACGTTTTGGACCATATTCGCGTTTTATCCTTTTGGATACCCTTTTGGATAAAACGCGGATATGGCTTAAAAAAGGTTGAAAAACGTTTTCAACTCCGCCACTCATCCGTCCGTCCGCCATCCATCCGTCCGTCCGTATCCACGTTTTATCCTAACCCTGCAATCGACATAGTTATTCGCGACGTTCGTGATAGGGACTATAACACTTCCAAAGCTAATAAACCTATATCCTATTAAACCTATATCCTAATAAACCTATATCCTAATAAACCTTTAATCCTGAGGATGACTACAAACTAGTCGAAACGTCGATTAAAAATCAAAATGATATTCGGAGTTACGGTTATTTTATATCCTATAACTTAAGACATTTTATCATCAAGCAATATATCTATAGACTTATTAGACTATACGAAACGGACACATTTACTTGTTATACAATAGATAACAGCAAGATAAGAAACAGCATGTATATTATTTTATTACTGGAGATTTGTTGCGTTAAATTTTCCTGTATTTATGTAGCGCATAAAAGGAAAGGGTACGAAAAAAATATTAAAAATAAAAATAATATTTTCGTGAAAAAATGCGTTTTTAGCACATTTTATGACCCACGACTTTACCCACGACTTTACCCACGACACACGACTTTTAACCCACGACACACGACACACGACATATAGGGACACTCGTCATGAGGCGATGAAGAAGAGATCGGAGTTGCCAATGAACAACATGAGCAGCATGTTCGTACTTGTAGGAGGAGGTGTGTTATTAGTTTATAACGCTGTCACTTAATTTGTCAGTACCCTTTTATTAAAGTGCGACTAACCCCAAATATCATTTTTGGTATGTGTAATGTTTAGTTATTCGAAGAAAAAAATGTACTATATCTTTAAAACAAAAAATCCCATCTCGATAAAAACAGGCACCTTAAAACCTAAAATTTGACAGTGAAAAAGTTGATCAAGATGAGGTTTTTTACTATAAAGATACATTTCATTTCTTCTTAGAATCACCCCATGCAATATTACACACAACAAAAATTATATTTGGGGTTCGTCGCACTTTAAGAAGAACATCATTCACCAGCGATAGAAACAATAATCAAATTGTTGTATGCAGAGGGTCCTGAATGACTTAACATGCCTGTTCTTACAACAAGATTTTATCATTTAAAAATTGTTACACCATGCATGCAATTTGTCTTGCAACTTAATTGTCTCCGCGCAATTGTGATAGTCAGGTCTTTTTAAAAAGTCTGCCTTGTGACGTAGTTGCGGATGAATACGATCATTTGGCAAATCAAGCAAGCCAAATGCCTGCATCGTTCATGATTGTAAGATAAGTTGCGTAGTGTACCATCTCTGATCATGCAACGACAGTTTTAAAAATTAAGTCATTGCAAGACAAGCTGCGAACCAAATTGCATAGGGTAACAGCGCCCTTTATTATATTTTGTCTGAAATAGATTTCACTAAGCAATTTATCTCGCAACTTGTCTCGTAAAGGAACTGTTGCACTATTGCATCCATTGCGAAACAAATATCACAGTTTACCAATTACCTCGCAATCATCAAGTCTGGCAACGTTTTTGCTGCTCAGGCATGTTAATGCCTGGGTCTGACCACGCTTGTATAATATCTTGCGCGCGTGTTGAACGCGCGATCTGTCAGTAATGCGTCTGTTAGAATATGCGCCCCTTGTGTGAGTATTTTAGTGAATTCGGACGTTTGCTTCAAATCAAAATATAGTATATATGAGCGACAGGATTATTTTGGAATATACAATGCAAAGAAGTCGGTATACTATTCAGTTTTTATGTAATAATTGGCTATTTGTATAGCAATAAGTATTGTATCATTTGCGACAGCTGACCTTTGAACTGCTGATAAATAAAAGCTTCTTATAGTGCGCTATCTTGCGATTATTCAGTATTAATTGTTGATTGTTTCTTATTTTCAGTGAAAAATTGCTTGTGAATTATAAATTAATTATAGCACGTACAGTTTAGTCGGTCTTTTCCACCATGGCATGCTTCCCTTCAAGCATTAACTATGCTTCAAGATATCGGCTTGAATGCGCAATGAATGTTGTTATTGGAAATATAATATCCCTTACAATAAGCGGCAGACTGTTTCATTATGGCGCGTGAAATTCATCACGCGAAAAACGCGTTCGACTTGCAGCAGGGTAATTTGACGAAATTTTGCTATTTTTATTAGCGAAAAACATTAACAAGGGAACAAAGTTTCCTGCGTTAATTCGGAAATCGTACATTTATTTGTAGATAACATTTAATGACGCGATTAACATTCGTTTGATGCCGATCGCCGTAATATAGCCGCATAAAATAATGAAACGAAGCCTAAATGTAAACTTTCCGAATTCATTCAATAAACAGTGATATTATGTGTGAATGATTATCGCAATTCTGCGTCCTCTCCGTCACGAATTATACTGCTGCAGAGCCTCTGAATAAAACGTATCAATTTTTGTGTTGTTTTTCGAAATATACATCACGTGATCGTTGCCATGACAACGAAAAGTGGGTCAAAATTTAGAATCTCCTTTGATAAATCATATAAAACTTGAATGGTAATAATCAAGGCCATACTTATTTTTTTATGATTTTTTGTCTATTTTCGCTAGTACACAAACTGAGACCCAGGCATTAACATACCTGAGTGGATGAAGCGTTGCACGAAGCAGAGGCATACATGTTCTACTTCTAGCGATTTTGGCTACGCTGCAACAACATTACGACATTCCATAATGTAACACCCCTCATGAAACTTGACTCGCAATGGTTTTATTGACTAGCCAACAAATCACACTTGTCTTGCATGCAAGTTGTAATCATGAGCAATGTACTGTAGGCAACAAGGGAGTTTTTATTTCTGGTCAATATAACCATTGCGAGACGCCGGAGTTTCAAGATAGATGAATGTTCAGTGACACTGCGCAATTTCTTTGTCATTGCCACAATCGTTACAATAAGTAGAATCTGATTCTATCTTATCTGGCGAAACGCTTCGTGGTACAAAAATGTTTCGAAACTTGATGAACGAGGAATGTTACGCCTTGCAAGCAACTTGTGTCGCAACAAAATTGCAAGACCAGCAGCATAACAGCCAGCGCCTTTTTATTAGCGTCTTTAATTATCCTCCGGTATTTTGAGTGTGTATTTGTTTATGAGAGCAATTTAATTAAGAACGTTGAATTGTCCCGTTAGCCAGATTAAACTAAGAAAATCTTGCATTTTATATATGAGTTTGACTGTATACAACTAATTCAAAAAAAGTTGCATGTCCTTCGACAATGTCAAATTAAACCTTAAACTCTAAGCGCGCAAGGTGTGATGGGTAACTTCTGACTTAAGGCCTAAAACGTGCGGATTTTGCATTGTAACTATGGCAAGATAGATAATAAGCACTATATTGTACAACTAGCAGTATACTAGGATTATTTGCCCAATCAAAAGCCATAAAAAGAAGTTACCCAACTCATTGCGCATTTAAGGTTTGAGATTTTCGAAGGACATCCTTTTTGGAATTAGCTGTATATACCATGCAATAAGCTCCCGATGATGGGTAAATACTTGAATGTTGCTAATATTATCTGCATTCATTTTTAGAAACTGGCAAAAAGATTCAAACATCTTAATAAAGTTAACTGGAGCCAGGAAAGAGTGGCAAAGGTTGCAGATGTCCTCAATAAGGGTCACCAGAATTCGCTGCCTGGACTATCAAAGAGAGTCATGATACCAAGAGAGCAAGGGGAACCATCGAGTACGCAAAACCAGCCAACTCCGCACAACTGTCCAGATTGGGCACATGTGGTTGAAAATGGACAAGCGCAAGTCGCAGATGTTGACACAAAACCGCCACAAGAAGGAACCGCGGTTAATGATGCAACTACAGATCTAAACGTGTCCGAAAACTTTATTACTAATGAACTTTATTTATGCACACACTTTATTAATCTTTAATCAGTTTTTAAGTTTCTGCATGTGTTATTTACAGCAAAGTGCATAAAATTAAACCAAGTTCGGAAAGCGCTATTGAACACGAAGAGATAAGTTAGGTTTTTTTTAGTTACCAAAATTGGTTATTTAATTGAAATACATTATGGAATAGCTACCAGTTAGGATCAGCGCTAAAAATTTAAAGATTTGCGTTATTCGCTTGGCTTTGTCCGCTTAGTTTTAGCCTTGGCTTTTACCGTTGTTTAGGACAATGTAAGTGCATTTAGCTGTATATTGTACGTAAATTGGCAACAATTTTTGCCAGCTAAAAATAATTTTCTAAAGAACGAGTCACAAATATTAGACGTCACTTTTTTCTTACAAAGCCAATCACAAAACGTGATAATTTTAGGTTCGGTTTTTATACTGGGTCTCTGTCCGCACAAATCCGTTTTCCTTTAGCGTTTAATTCCATTCCCTTGCGAACGGATAACAATACCGTACGTGAGAACGCTATGCGAGAAAGGATTAATTTGGGCTGCAGCTTGAAAGCTATAAAGACCTTAAATGTTTCAGTTCGATAAAACAATTGAACTCTCATCTCTGAAGAATAACGACTAATTTATATGAAAGGTATTTTAGTTTCATTTTTGTACACACACGGGTATAATATGTATATATTAAAACAAATGTATTTTAAAAATGAACACGTGTTGTATATCTGAGTTCATGTTGCATTTCATCATTACAAATTATCGTGATTTTTTACTGTTCTTAATTATCGATGCATGAACCTTGAGTCAAGCTAGACCGGGTTTTTGTAATCATGAATAATACTATATATTGTCAGAATATATGACACAAATTCAACATTTTCAAAAGCGCAATAATAAAACCCAACGTCATGTGATCACACGCGATGTAACTTATTGCAAGTATAATGGAGCGACTAAATGAGATTAAAATTGGACTTACACAAAGTTTAATCAATGTATTAAATGTGATTAATTTATTCTTTATATCGCTTTAATAAGCGGTCTTAAATCAACGGATTAAATTTATCTTTAATACCCTAAAAGCAACACATATTTGTACGATTAAAGTAGTCTTTAATCAGCGATTATACCAATATTAATTAATTAATTAGTCGTTCTTATTAAATATATCAATAGTTTATTCAAATTCCTGATAAGTAGTTGAATAATCTTAATTTGTAGATGCTTGGAAATTTCTAGTTCAAGATTACATTATACTGTACAATTTTAGACCTAACGAGAAGCAGGTGTGAAAAATGCAACCAAAATGCAACCAGTAATCGAACCTGCGACCTTGCGATTGACGTGCAGCCATCTGAGATCTCGACAATTGGACTAAGACCTGAGCTGTTTTGATCGCTTTTCCGAAATCCCTGGGCTGCACGATTCCTGTCAGAAGGCCTATAGCTGCATTTTTCGTAACTGCTCCTGGTTAGGTTTAAAATTGTACTTCATTTTCTTGTTCGAAATTTCCTGTTAAATCTATCCAGCAAGTTGACCAAAAAGCTCTTTAGAGTCTGATAAATAGTTCAATAGTTAATAGAAACAAAATAGATTTATAATTTTATATGAATAGTTCATTTTCGTTGACGACTTCCTCTGATTCAATCTCATTCGACTTCACGATTTCTTTGTTGTATGCAGATGTCTAGGCAGGGGCGGACATATCGATTTTGACTGGGAGGGTGTAATCACGAAATGAGACCGACCCACCACTGAAATGCGAATCCAGACCGACTCTTGGTGAGTTGGTGTGTTGCAATAAATCGAGTACAAAGCATGGAAATTGATGGCATTTATTAGGAATTTTGCAAGAACACGTACAGTTTGCTGTGAAACGTTATATTTTTATTAAGTGTCTGCGCTTACTGCTTAGTCAGGTTTTGACCACGGATTAGCGATTTCGTCAAGATCGATCGTGTCTGTTAGATCGCGCTCACACGCAAGAGTCAAGAGTTCACCAAGGCGTTCCTGGTTTATTTCTGAACGCATGACAGTTTTCACTGATTTCAGCTATGAAAAGCTGCGCTCGGCTGATGCGGATGTTACAGGAACTGTCAGGCGCGTAACTATAGGATTTTTGATTGACCGAGACACTTCTGAGGGTGGGGGGGGGGGTCTGGGGGCATGCTCCCCCAGAAAATATTTGATTTTCTAAGGCTTAGAACCGCTATTTCCTGCATTCTGGGAGCAGTTCAAATGAAAAATCAATTTCATAAACAGTGACACAATGACTATAATTTTATACTGTAGTTTGCCACCAATCCTGAGGATAAGAATTACAAATATTTTTGGTCGAACATCATTGATCAGGTGCATAAAAAAAAGTGTTTGTGCTCAATTGTTGTAATATTTGGGCGCTGGCCCGCACCCATTTCTTACGTCACTGTAGGGCAAGAATAATGCTTCTTTACATGGAGAGAACTACAGTCTGTCATTGAACTTGAATTCGATTGACTCGTATACCTAGTTATGGGCCTGACTGTAAGCAACAATTGGAAACATCGCCTAGTCAGTGGAAACAATTTTTCGCTCCGTGATTTCAGATAAACCAGTGCGTCGTTCAATGATCGAATTTCTTGATTGCAGTAGGCACATAAAACTCTTTGGTAACAAAATGCATATGCGTATCGTGTTACATGTGAACATACTTCCTAATATAACTCGGCTAGAAATCTGTTTTTGCACTTTGCATCTTAAAAATATAGTTTAGGGACCGGAGAAATATTGTAATTAATGTTAGCTATTTTGATCGAGATTCGTCGCATTTTGGAGTCTGATTTTGGGGGTTTGAAATTTTCGCTAATATAGAATATCACCCGTGAATGACCTTGCTGAACCTAAATTCCAAATAAAAGTGCCAACACGTAATCGTGACATATAGATATCCCATGTTTGGAAAGTAAATGGAAACTTCATCCCTTTGCGCGTGTTTTGACTGATAATTCGTTCATAAACTCGCGAAATAAGTACGTAATATTTCTTCATATTATTTCTGAGCTGTTTGATCCGTTTGAGCAAATTTCCAACTCAATACTCAATAGTTTGAGTCTATCTCGAGTTTCGAAAATATTTCATTTGCTTCGCAAAGCACTGCATGTAAACAAACGCATACTTTTGAGACCGACTGCACTTAGTTTGAGACCGACTGGATCATTTCTCTGGGGGGGAGTGTGAACCCCCCCCACACACACATACACACCCCACACATTTACGCCCCTGTGTCTAGGGTTAAGAAAAGATATTATGACGATCATCATATAGGCGGGCGAGACAGGGAAGAGGGGCATGGGTCCCCCACAAAAATTCGGGCAACCTTTCAACTAGCCCCCTACCCCGCCGGAAGGAACTGATCAGTTCGTACGCTCATAACGGTCATGTTAACAAAATGAATGACCGATTGAAAGAATGTGAGATCTAAAAGAGTCTTCAACCCGATTTAAACAACTTAATCATGGTTCGTCTCGAGTAAAATCTTTATCACAAGATAGCTTTTATTTTCAATATTAGATGATTCAGTATGAACCAATTTTCAGTTTAGAATAACGTCTGTAATATATTAGACGTTTTAACGCTTACATTGCATACCTGTGAGATTTCTTTCCAATCAAGTATTTTGTAGAGTATGTCTCTTAAACTTAGAAAATTTGGACGATCTTCAGGATTTTCTTTCCAGCACATTGACATAACATTGTTGCTGTAATGACAATTTTATTTCATAATTTTTAGAAGCAAGTTCTATTTTAACCCTATCCAGACTGTGATCTTTCGGGGTATTCTGGGAATGAGTGGGGGAGCTAGGTGTGGGCAGTAATTGCCCGAGATCAATGTATCCTAAAACATTTGGTGTACTCCAACAAAACTTTCACTGGTGGATAGTATGCCTTGTTCAAGTATATTATGACACATGTATGGCAAAAAATTATGACATCGTTAATTGCAAAACATGGATTGTTAAAATGTTCAAAATTATTTTGTTGTTGTAATTTTTAGCTGTTTTGTTAGGATAAAAAAGTAAGGATATATCAGAAAATAGTGTCTCTTTGTTAAGGGACCATTCATTATTTATGACTGGGGGTGGGCTGGCAAAAAAAGGGGGTGGGTCATGAGGTATTTTTGACTGAAAGTGGGGGGGGGCACCCAAAAATATTAGTTCAGAAGGGGGGGTCCAGTTATTTATTATAGTGGAGAAAAATTTGACGTGTAACGATTATTACTACCACAGGGAGCGAGCAAAGCAGCAAATTTAATTCATGTATATAGCTAGCAAAATTCTGAATTTTAATCAACAGATAGACCCAAAATGCAATGCACAAATACTCAAAATGCAATGCGCGCAGCTAATACGACAAATAATCGAACATCTACCTTTATAACTTTTAACTTGCCATAAATTTTTGTCATATTCCAATTATGTACATTTTATTAATAAAAAAGATAATTAACGAGTAAGTGATGTAGCAACCTTACGTCCAGGGAAAGTTTGGCTAATCATAGTTTATATACTAGGTATTTTATACATGGTTTAACTTAGTAAGGAGTTTGTTGGTTTCCCGTGTCAAGTCCGAGTCAAATCCGAGCTTGAGTTAAATGTTCGAGTCACTAGCTGTTTAGCGGTCTTTGTAGTTCATTGACGTAGCACTGTGTATCCTAACCCTATTCTTAACCCAGGGCCGTAGCAACCGCTAATCATTCTTTTTCCAAAATCATGCAGATCATTCTTTTTCATTCTCATTCATGCTAATCATTCTTTTTCCAAAATCGCATGCAGAATCATTTAAATAATATACCTTTAAAATACTGACAATTGATTAATTTTAAGCGGCTACATTATCCATGACCAAATTTAAACTGCAAAGAATGAAGATTATATTTCTCATACATTCCTGCAACTTATCCAATATTGATATAGTTAATTAAATACACCTTCGCCCATTTAGTGCTACTAAATTGTAAATTTCGACATACTAAAATGCTGTTTTCTGACCATCAGAATTCTGTCAAATCTTCCCCAAGGTCCAGGAAATGCCATTTCATAGACTCTCAATTTAAAAATTTCCTCTGGCCTTTGACCCTTGAAGCTCTGCTAGGCATGTTCCAATTTTGCTCGGCAACTTTTGAGCAACTTTTTGCGTTTGGAGCAACTTTTTTCGGCTCGAGCAACTTCAAGCAACTACACTCTTAGTAACGAAAAATGGTATATGACCCCCAGCTTTAGCCTCTTCGGCGCTAAATCAAAAAATCTGACAATGTCTCTAGTTAACCCATTGCGCCCCAGTACATATTTTTTTCCTTGTTTAACGCCAGACGATTTTACTCGTCAACAGGAAACCCTGCAGCTTAATGGGTTAAATAGGTATGCTTACTAATTGTTGATAGTACAAGTAAATGAAAGAGCTGATGCCTTTTACCGAACAAGTTTAAAGAGCGCATTTCTATACAGTACCGTACATTTATTATATTGTCGGTGGTGGTGGTGGTGGTGGTGGTGGTGGTGGTGGTGGTGGTGGTGGTGGGATGGGGTGGTGGGGGGTTATTATTTTTTAGAATTCATGTGAGGGGGGTCATTGAATTTTTTTGTGATGCAGAGGGTGGGTCAGGACATTTTGTTTAGTTTTTAATTGAATTTTGCCACCCCACCCCCGGTCATAAATAATGAATGGTCCCTAAAAAGTGCTTATTTTGAATCTATTGCAGCTATTATAATTTAATTAAAATGCTGAAACTTAGTTTTTGACATGTGTTCACGACTATAGGCTGTAACTTTTTTTGGCGTAATATTTTTCACTAAGTTTTCTAGACAAAATAATTAAAGCTCATAGAACTTTAGGAAACGTAACGTTGTAAAGTTTCAGAACCATACCTATACTGGTTTAGGAGATCAAACTTTAAAATCAGCGCAGCTCCCCCGTCTGGATAGGGTTAAGACAAAGTTTCGCATCTAAGACGTATTGTTTCTTCGCGTAACATACATGAACAATTAACGTTGATGTATGCCAGTTTTAATTAACATACAATTCGCACAATCGCCTGCATAATAATTCTGCAGTTTCCTTATTATTTAACAATTATTTTTAGTTTTACAGTTTTACGCGCACCTACGCAATGTTTCCAATTTTGTGAGTCAGTTTTTCAAGAAATTGTGCGTGTAAATAATATAATTTCCCTTAGCGTCTGCGACTGCAAGGTACTGTTTAGGGAAACGCTGTGAAATATTTATATCGATTAATCAAGTTTGTACGACAGCGTCCGACAAATTAATAGAAATCTTCTCTAACTGTATCCGCCCACTTGTCGATGTCGTATATAGTTATCAAGATATAATGGTCTTGAAACTATACAGAAGTCATTGTATTATGTTTTTATCTGAGTTTATGTTAGTTTGGGAACGGGAACGGTGATTGAGCTCACTATATATTTTCGTATAATTAAGTTAAACCGTCCAATAGGAATAACTGTGATGAAACGAGCAGCCACGATTATTAATATTTAGTGAAGTTGATACAATAGGATTTGTGCACGGCGAGGTACAGTTCAACATCCAACAAAGGCCTTCTATTTTGTAGCTTTAAAGTTTGCCGGGCTTCCCGATGTTACGATGTTACTATATAGTTGATGTTGAAGTATTGCATTCTCTTTGTTATGAATTATTTTTGGATACGTGCATGTTGCTCGAATATTGAGATGAATCGTCTCCTACTTAGTAAATAGTTAATTTATTGACCGATTCCAAAACTAGCTACCCAAATTTTGCATTATTATAATATGCTTACGAATTACTAGTCTACACAACAAACAATATATCAACAGAGGCAAAGTGTAAGAGTTTTAGGCATCTTTTATATACGTCGAATATTGGTCGCGTCGAATGCAAATAAGACAATAGATAATGAGATGATAAACTTCATTAAGCTTCATTATCTATCATTTGAATTGCATTCGAAGCGACTGAATTTCGACGTACAAAACAGGCCTAAGATTGAAAATAATACATACAAACGAAATTATAGCCCCTTGAGAAGTACTAAAACAAGGCAAGTCAGGCGTCTCCTGTATTTCTATTATATATTCTCGAAAAGAATAGATATATGGTATTATATTTATACGGTACTTTGTTAAAGTGTTAGTCTTGAAGTATTCTGTAGGACGGCAATGAATTACCTCGGTTGAAATTAATTTCGGAAGAAAAATAAGAATGACAACTATTTTGTGAATCAGTCTATTTTTAATTTTGTTGTGATCTTAATTAATCACATTCGATACTCACATTTCATGAGGACAATGAATAGGTGGTTCCATTCGCTTTCCTTGTAACAAGTAGTGATGTACTTCATTGACATACATTCCTGGATAAGGAGTCCCACCTGAAAGCAATATATTTTGCAAGTGATACAACTTTGACTATGTACAAATTGTATATCTTACTAAATGAAATTGATACCCAAGCTGGTACGTTTCAAATAATGCAAAGTGATGATACATTTCGCGCATCGGTGTACAGGATCCGAGGAAAAGATAGTGGGCCAGAAAGAAATTTTCCACCGAGTTTGTTGTATTTTTGCCCGACCAATCAAAGCTGTTTTTCTGCTTAATCTAAAAAATTATTGGCGCCTGGGGGGGGGGGGTACATTACATATTTGTTCCTTATTTCATTATTGTCTTACACATTTCTTGCTTTTCAATCTCTCGCCCCCCCTTCCATATTTTTGCCCAACTTACGTTTAAAGCTCATAGAAATTCGCACTTATGTTACAATTTGCCCAACCTGAATTTTTCCGGGGGAGGCAGCTGACCGCTTCCTTTACCCCATCTTGTACGATTTTGAATTCGTTTATAGTTACACTAACAATTTCGAGAAAAATAAAAGAAGCCATAAAATTACTCACCCAATGAGAAGATTTCCCAAAGTAAAATACCAAATGACCACCTAAACGGAGAGATGATTCGAACTATAGGAACAAATAAATGCCCTCAAACTTTTACTCGGAATGTGCAATTATTGCCTTGGAATTGAGAAACCTTAAATCCTATTAAGACCTTTCAATTCAAATTTTCGAATAAAAACGTGCCATTGGAATTCCGATTTTCAAGTACACAATTTAAGCAACGCCAATAAAAACTGTTCCCACTCATGAGTGAGTTCTTTGAACGATGCATTTCTCCCAAAGTTAATCAATCACTCATTCATCGCACATGCATGCGAATTTTCAAAACTCCTCCTTGAGTAATATACTCCTTCAATTTAATATATTTCCCCAGCTTGTACTGGCCAGAATATTTGAAGAGGCCTTCCATTTCACATCTTTCTGGGACATTTTTGTAGATGCTAATTATACATGTTTAACAAACACTCTCCTTACGGTTTTACTTACACGTCTGACTTCTCAGTAAATAATGAGTCCCTGATAGACTCAACAGCCATCCATTTGAAAGGAACTAGTCCCTAGAAATTAAAATGCCACATTTCATTAAATCATTCTTACGGAATGTACGTCACTTTACCAAACGAGACTTGTGTTTTTGTATGTGTAAGATAAAGACCAAAACCTCAATAAGAAAATGAGATCTTAAAGTCAAGGTTATACGTACTTTCCGGAAAGGTACAGTGCCAGCAAAAAACCTTAAAATATGACAATTTCAAACAGATCTTCCTAGAAATCATCTATAAAGGCTATGGATTGGTTTATGAAAGGAGAAAAGCTGAAACCTGGAGGAAAGCATCGTCGTTGAAAGTTTTGTCTCGACACGTCTTCGCACGACTGAGATGAGAGCATAATTATTTTGGTGCCTTTAGGTCTGGCTTTGCAATTTTTAAAATTATTTTTTCATCATTAGATTTTTGGAGCATGCGCAGTTAAGCGGTAACTTTTCAAAAAACTGAACATTTCAGAATAGTGAGAATATAAATAAGCAAAATTAATGGTTGTAGACTTACTGTTGATGTTCTTAAGTATTGTTGATACTTATAAACATCTCTGGCCAATCCAAAGTCTGCAATTTTTGCTACATATTTCCCTCCGAGTAAGATCTTTCGTGCAGCCAGATCTCGATGAATTATCTGCAGGAATAACAGAAAAAAATTTGAAATACATTAATGTTTACAACCTTGCCAAGAATGATAGGTTGTTAAACTGGAACGACAATAACTCAAACATTTCTTTGTCATTAAAAGGTAATGGTAAATGAATGTAATTTAAGTCTGTTTTGGTAGAAAATTTTCAAACATTGCAATCGCGTCAAAGTCGTCAAGCTCACTGCACGGTACGAAATATATGAAATCGCAAGTATATCGATTGTTCGACTTATTAGACTTACACATGAATATAGCTATGAGATTTTAGAGTTGTATCCTGCTTCTGACGTCCTATTATTTACATATCATTAATATATTACTGTATATCGAAATATAAAGTTACGTAGAATTTGACAAGATTCTCTTTACATCAAATGTTGTGCTCGCAATAAAACGAAGTTATCACTAGCAAAGGAGCATTATGCTCTTTCCCAACGAGCTATCCGTACGGCTCTGAACTCACTCCTGCTCTTTATTCAATCTATGCCTGCGGTAGAGACATGGGTAAAACTGATACATATAGTGTGTGTACAGGATCTGGTCAGGCTTATAAAAGGATGGGGGAAACTTTACCTTTCTTGAGGTCAAAAATGTCATCCCTTTTGTTATTTGCCAAGCAAAATATATCAAATTTTTTGGACCAAACACTTGGGAAAGATCTGAATCGAATGATTCTTCCTCCACGTTGTACCAACTCCGATTGTTTCGTAAGAATTCTCGAAGACTTCCATTCGGACAATATTCCATTATTATCCAAAGGTTTGAACTTTTACCTATGGAAAATTATTTTTGTAATTACTATGGGTATTTTAGACAATTTTCAACTTAAATTATGTAATTATGTAAGCTCTTTGAAAACAATTTTGAATCAGAGAATTTTTTGAATCTGGCTCATCAAAATATATTAACCTGTATAAGCAGTACAACTGTGCTATTATTCACTTGTTGCTAATGTGTTTTATCCTGTAAATAGTTCTAAATCACGCCCCTCGTGAAAATCAGTTTTTAATGTTATTGAGGCAAGCGTGAATAAATAAAGTTTGTATGTATGTATGTATGTATGTACTAGAAAATAACTGTTTTGCGAAGGACTATTAAGCTTCCAAACAAAATCAAATCATTTGAGATGATTTGACTGATGAAGGTGAAGTTTTTAATGTTCTTTATGAACATTATTATAATGATGTAATGATAAATACGGCCAATACTTAGAAGACATGCATAGTATTGGGACTGGTTGATTCCCATGCACAATAAAAATGCTACAAATTAATTAAGTATCCAAACATGCAATCATTCTAAAGAAACGACATTCACCAACGCATCATGTTTCTAGTTAGTCATGTTCGAAACAATTTGAAGAAGAGTACGCCCGGTGGCAGTTCACTGAATACGAAATTCTAATGCAGGAAGAACACAATGTGCATCAAATTAAATGTTAAAATTGTTTAATTTAATTTGATCTCTGGTAGTTCATCAAGCGCATTCTAGACATCTACGAATTCGAGACGCGTCTTCAACTTTCCAATTACTTCCGAAAACCACTGACTGGCGAAGACAGATGATCGAAAGCCGAATCAAAAGAGACTTAACTATCCATATTCAAATTGAAATTTTAACAAGATTGCAAAACTTTGCAGGTTGTTTCAATCAAAGTGTACAGTAAAATATAAAATAAAAACAGAAGTAGGGTTACTAACCTTTTGTGCAAGCACCTAGTATATTTACAATATTTTCATTTTCACCAATATGAGTTAAAATCTTCAGTTCGGACTGCAAGTCGGCCAGATCGTTTTGATCAAATTTTTCTGCAACAAGTAAAAATTATTTAAATAATAATCAGATTTTTAATGGTAATTGAATTGAGTGGAGTGCAATTTGGACTGAAATCAAACGCGTGATTACAAAATCGTACGACCGCGAAGCGGGAGTGCGATTTGTAATCACAAGTTTGATTTCAGTCCAAAATTGCACGACACGAAGTTCAATTTCCACTTTATTGTATTCATTTTGAAATCTTAAACATTTTTGTAACCGTAAACGTGTTTGCAAAAGACGCACCTCCGGTACCTCCCTGAGTGCTGTAGCATAAGAGACAACAAAAGTAAGTTTAATGATATTGTAGGTTTTACAAGTGATTTGAACTTTTGTGCATTTAAAACTGGAAATACGATAGGCGAATTTACCTTTGTTTTCCTTGACGCTTTAAATTTGCTTTTGTTGCCGTTTTGACCATATTTGATAGAAGATTATGTTCTTAATTTGCCAGTTACTATTTGTGAAATTGAAAAATTTGCAATTCTTTGATAGTTTACTTTAGCTATCCATATTTTTTATGTGCAAAAAATTGCTTAATTTCAATCATTCGTGACATATGTAAATTTTTTGTTTTTGCTCATTTGCCATATCACATTTTTCTTAAAATTGATTGGCTGTTTAAATCCTATATGACTAAATATTGTTGGCTGAAGTCAGCACTCTAATGTGAGTGATTGAAAGAAGGTGCGATTTCAGCACGAATCGCAATGCGATTCGTGCTGAAATGGCACTCCTGTGAATCAATCAGGTTGCAGGAAACACCACTGATTTAAAAATGAATATAATAAAAATAATAATTTGGTTTCATTGTTGTCACCGTTGCTGCTCTTCTTGTGAACTGTCTATAATTAATTTTTAACCAAAAATCCAAAATTGTTGTGCTATAAATATTCGCTCGAAATTTCTATCTACAAAAACTATTAAAATTATTTTAAGAAATAGAAAACGAGTCAATGCGTGCCAACGACACATGGTTAATCCCAATCCAACGAGGCAAGAGTAGTAATTCCGCTAGGCTATTTACACCCTGGGAAAGGAAAGCATTGGCGAAGTTCATCAAACATCGGGGGCGTGTGGTTTTGATCCAAGTTTTGATTGGTGGACTTCCCACTGGTTTCACAAATATGGCAAATTTCTGGTGAAAATGTGTAGAACTTGCGAGGAAAATTGTGAAAACATTAATTCAGAAACCCAAAAATTGTCGATGAGAAGAGCAGCCGAAAGTTGATTATTTGTTTTTTCTTCAATACAAAATATCAGCCTATGGGCAATAGATTGCACAACAAAAAATCATTTTCTTAAGAAAGTATAATTTTCTTAATTTAATTAAGAAACTATTTTTTAAAACAAGAAAATGTTTTCTTAAAATAAGTTAGCACCTTTCTTAAAATAAGAAATAGTTACATCATAAGAAAATTTTTCTTAAATTTTCTTGAAATAAGAAAATTTCATAGGAAACAAGAAAACTCAAAATTACCAAATTTTATACTATAAAATTAAGTAACGGATGATATGGTTCTATATATGGATTTCCAAACCTATATAACTAAAATATTTTGTAACTCTTTACATTTTCGTCCAAATTTACAAATTAGTTTAGGAAATTAAGAAAATTTTCTTAAAGTAAGAAAATTCTTTTCACAATATTCTCAAAATCAGAAATATATGCAGTAACATCGTTTCTTAAAGGTAGGTTACAGTCCCTTCTGCGCATGCGCGGGCTTTGTTTACGTTTTTTGTTTTGATAAGATGAAGTATATGACGAGTTCAAAGTAACATTCCACATAATTTGTGACCGAGGAGTGCAATGCTTAATACTTCGCTTCATTTCTTGTACATTTCTACACTGGGGATTTTTGTACACAATAACACAATCTTATACTGTAACTGTAAACATCGTGAATAAAGTTATAAAAAGGCCGCTTTGAACGTTGTTTGACTTGCTATATCAACAGCTGGGACGGCGAACCGAAATCCCGAAGGTGTGAGTTCGAATAATTTGTGTTTACCTTTGGAGTGTCTCATCATGAAAACATTTAATGCGGTATCAATCCCTTGAAACATGTTGCCAGTGTTGTTGTTGTCATTATGACAGAAGTGCTTGGCCTTGGGGAAAGCTTTTCGCTTGACGAAATTCGAAACAAGTGTGATTGAGAATGTGGTTGCAGTTCCTGCCTTCGTGGCAAAGCCAAGGGCGAAATGTTTGACCGTGCAAAAGCTGGATAAACAGCTTTTGTTCAAGCTCGTGCGCGCTATGGAGATGATTTCGTTATAATTTATATATAAACAACAAAAGAGTTCAATAGATTGACAGTGACCAGAGTACGAGACGCTAAGATTATATTCAACTTTTTTGTGTTACAAATATGTATGTCAGTTTGAAATTATGAACTGGAAGTATGAATTCATTGATATTTAATACTCTCATATTGACACTAAATGATGATATTCTTGTGACACTGAATGATCTAATAGTAATATTAACTTAAAGGTAGGTTACAGTCCCTTCTGCGCATGTCTGTGATTGTTTTCGCCTGGGGACTCCGCCGGAAGTTGGCATCTCGGTTTATACTCGTTCCAGTCTCATTTCTGGCAATAACACGCGCGTTGTTTTTTTCGCAAGCGAAGGAGTGAGGCTACTAGAAGCTAGAAGTTTCCAAAATATATTGAGCTTTTTTGAGCGACAATCCGCCAAATGACAAGTTATTGAGGCAACATGACGAGTAGGAAAGAATACCACGCTAGCAGGGATGCTTCCAAAGTGTATCAAAGTGTATCTATTTTATTGTTTTCCTCGATGGAGAGCGTGCCATTTCAACAGTCTGCGTTTCCCCATGATATACCTACATCCTCAAGCTTCTACTAAAGGTTTTCAAGAAAATAATCCAAGAAGGATTGGACATTTCACCCAACATAGCTGCTATTCACTCCCTTCACTGTGGATCCTTCAGTGAAATCGCTTGTTGAAGCTCATCAATCGAGATTTTAATGATTATTAAATTCTCTTTATTTACTATTTTAATACACTATCGTTACATACGAACTGTTCTATCTCTTTTATTTACAAACTGAAACCCATATAATTCAGGCCTAAAGATATGATACTCATAAGTAGGAGTTGTCAATGAAAAAGTGTTAATGAGCAATTTGGATTCAACATGTTTTGGATGGCTGTTTATATATTATAGTGTTTATTGTCAGAGTGATAAATGATATTAATTAATCTACTTGACTCAGTTGAATGTGTTTACCGTCTTTGACTGCATGGCTTCTCATGGACAACTTGTGCTCACTTAATAGAAACACATAAAAAGTTTCTCTGACCAAAGTATATTTTAATGAAAGCATTTAACAGTTTAAAATATTTATATTGTGTTTATATGGGAACATGGGAACCAGGCTGGTTCGCCTAAGCGAGATCTTGCTTAATTTGTGAAGCCCAAACAGATCTCGCCTAGGTGGGCTGGCTCGCCTGAGTCGCCTAAGCCGCTGAGTACAAATATATTGTTGTATGTAAGACATTTGATCTATATTATGAAAATTAATTGTTTTGGTGAGTCAGCCCACCACAGAATAAATATATATAATACCCTGCCATATAGTCTTTCAGTTAATTTGTTTAATTATTACTATGTAATAACTGTTAAGACTATCTGGCAAAGTTAATAAATTAAATTAAATTAGCTCAGGTATAACCGGGCTGACTCGCCTCCATACAAACATCGCTTAAGACATTTAGTTCAGTTATAAAACATTTTGATCACAGAAACTTATACTGTATCATGTAAACACCTCAACTGATAATTACTAGTATATTTTTTCACCCTAATTGTGACTAAAAGCTTGCATAAAAGAACCTACAATTTAAGAACCTGTCAGGCTAAATCTTTTTAGTTAGACACCCTAAATAAGAATTTGTTCGCTTTTCTTTAAGAATTTAACCTAATTTCCAAGCTCTAATGATCATATAGTCACTACATGTATTGTCCAAAGTCAGTTTATAACTGATTGAACACAAGTCAGTCTATATAGTGTACTATGATTGCCTGATTTTGTGTCACAGAGAGTGGCACCATCCCATATATATGTTGTCAGAACAAGCTGCCATGGCCTGTTTTGTGAGTGAGACATGAAATCAGACAACACAGTAAAACCCTGCATATAATAAGAACCTAGATTTTTTCCAAGTTAGCCAACTTAGCCTAAACAGGTTCTTATGTGAATGGTGCTTACCTGACCGTTCATGTTACAAACTGTATTTAGTATATTCAGTATCTTCAGGGGGGCATAAGCCCTTGAGTTATATTCATGCCTATCCCCTTTGAGTTCTCTTTTGATGTCTGAGTATGTGACTGTGTGTTAATAATAACTGTTTATATATTATTTGTATTATCATATAACCCAATAAATCTGTTAAAAAAAGAAAGATTCGTCGATGTAAATAAAAATTTCATCAGTGTTTCCTGAGAATTCTGATGAGCACTGATATAGAGCGAAACAAGCATATATTTAGCAATTGTCCTCTGTCTTGAAGAGACATGATGAACTATTAACGTGATCACTAGATTGACCAGAATTGTTGAAGTTAATATCATTCAGTGTCACAAGATCTCAGTCAGATCAGTATCTCAGTTAGATCATTCAGTGTCACAAGAATATCATCATTTATTGTCAATACGAGAGTAATATCAATGAATTCATACTTCCAGTTCATAATTTCAAAACATACATTTTTATAAGACAAAAAAGTTGAATATAATCTTAGCGTCTCGTACTCTCGTCACTGTCAATCTATTGAACTCTTCTGTTGTTTATAACAGCATTCGAAATCATCTCCATAGCGCGCACGAGCTGAACAAATGCTGTTTATCCAGTTTTTTATCCTTGGCTTTGCCACGAAGACAGGAACTGCAGCCACATTCTCAATCACACTTAATTCGAATTTCGTCAAGCGAAAAGCTTTCCCCAAGCGCTTCTGTCATAATGACAACAGCGGATCTGGCAACATGTTTCGAGGGATTGATACCGCATTAACTATTTTCATGATGAGACACAAACTCCAAAGGTAAACACAAGTTATTCGAACTCACTCCTTCGGGATTTCGGTTCGCCGCGCCCCAGGTGTTAATATAGCAAGTCACACAAGCTTAAGGTTCAATATTATTGCGGGTTATTATTTAAAGGTAATAAGGTTGTATTATTGCGTACAAAAATTTCCAGTGCAGAAATGTACAAGAAATGAAGCGAAATATTGTCAAACATTGCACTCCTCGGTCACAAATTATGTGGAATATTATTTTGAATTCGTCGTATACTTCATCTTATATAATTAATGTGGATCAAAACAAAAAACGTAAACAAAGATAGCACATGCGCAGAATTGACTGTAACCTACCATTAAGAATATTATTACTTAAATCTAGTAAGAAAATACTTGTCCGTATAGTGAGAACGTTTTTACTTACCAAGAATAGAATAAAATTCTCAATTACTAAGAAATAGTTTAATTTCTTAACAAGTAATCAAGAGCTTGAAACGAGAATGTCGTTAATTGTAATTTGAAGAAAATATTAATTACTAGTTTTAATATATATATATATATATATATATATATATATATATATATATATATATATATATATATATATATATATATATATATATATATATATATATATATACGACAAGAACGCCATTCAACCTAATACGCATGATCTCTGCATGTCACAGATTTAAATCAGCGCAAAGGCCTTTTCGGATGAAAAGCTCACTATCAGCTGCACTGCGCTGACGAGCCCCAAAAGGGCGAAACTGCTGTCCGCAGTTGCTGGTAGTGAGCTTGGGGCACAATTGCCTATAGGCCTTTGCGCTGATTTAAATCTGTGACATGCAGAGATCATGCGTATTAGGTTGAATGGCGTTCTTGTCGTATATATAATTCATGCGTCCCACATCCATGGTCTCATTGTTGGTTATATATATATATATATATATATACAGGGTGTATCAAAATAAACGCAATTCATCTTTTGTGCTTAATAACTTTCGAAATACTATTTCTAGTTAAACGCTTTTAGGCTTACTTCAAAGCCTGTTCTTTTCTCTTTCAAACAAACTATTATCCTTGTCTCCAATGCTAGTAATAATTGCACAGGAAAAGATTTAGTAAAACCTATCATTTTTAGTTGCTGTTTAATTATGCAAGTTTACTATGTTATTGTTTAGTTGGTTTAAATGTTAGAATTTTCTTCTTTAAACTTTAATCACTACATCTGGAAAACCACGTAAGAACAAATTAAAAGTATTTTAAAAGAGACCAGGTTGTTTGAAAATCCTAAACGAATGCTAAAAATCATAGAATCAAAACATTCTGGTGTCTGAGCCAGAGTGTCATCGAATTACGATGTAATGTAAACAGAAATTATAGCAAGCTGATGTCAGTCAGCTTAGATGGTCCAAGCCAAAATTATATCGCATTTGAAGTTTCAAACTGTGTTAAAAATAGTGGAAGAAAAAGCCGTAATTATACTTATTGTTACAATCCATTTATTAAAATGCAACATTTTTTTGTTTTAATGAAAAGTTATTTTCATGAGAACGATTTGTTATTCCATCTCAATTTTTTTAATCTCCAATCGCAATAACGTAAAGTATTATTACCCGCGAACCAATGAGTCAAATTTAAGAAACAAGCCACTGTTAGAAAGCTGAATGGCTACGCTTTAAAATGAATGTAAACTTTAACGTTTTCGTCTATTATTTGTTTAGCAATTTACATTTCAGTCGAGGATTGCGCTTTTT